AAAAAAATACGTTGCATATTGTTGTCTTAGTGGTTAGTCATTGTACAAGATGCAGACATAATATCCTGTCCACAAACACTATTAGAACAAATCTCTCTATTCATTGAATTAAGAGAATGCAGCTGTATATCTATCCTATTTTGAGTATGTAGATGCAAAATGGTCATTCATTTGTATCCCCTTTTTTGTGTAGTTTTGTCAGGGAAGGGCATTCCATTGTCATATAAATGTTGTAGGTGTGTGAATTCAGCAAAATATTCTGATACAATCCAGTAGTCCATAATAGTAGTAGGTTTTCTGTAAGACTGGCAGTGACAGAAGTTGTTGACTTGAGCCTTTTACAGCTCAGCATGTTAATGTGGCTTTACTTTTTATACTTTGTTTTTATACTTTTCTACTGGATGGTTAAGACCAAGATAAAGCAAGACCTATGTAACAAGAAATGTAACTTTTATATCTGATAAGGTCAGTCAAAATCCCCTCAGGATTTATCCTAAAACCTGTACTGCAGTTTGTAGATCCTTTGTCAGTGTCAGCCATGTCGATGAGTCACGGCCATTGCTTGACCAGTTTGCTCTTTGTGAAAGCCTGAGAGAATGTTTTCTCTCTATGTGACTCTCCTTAGGCACATTCTACGTCATCGAGCACTTTCCTCTTTGGCCCCATAATCTCCTTGATCAGAAAATTTGGGACACAACTGAGTTATATAGTGTTACAGTATAGATTCTTCTATGTCCTTAGTCCTCACTGACCTTAAAAGGCTAGGGCCAAAATGTTGGCTGTCCTTGCAGCCCTTATTTTTCTCTGATTTTTGGTCTGCAAACTTAGGTTGCTAACTGTTCAGAAAAGAAGCTTATTACTCTACACCATAGGTAGTTGAGCTTAACCTGTCTGTCTGAATATAGAACATCTTAGGCATAACATGAAAGCTTTTCCATCAAGCTTTGATATGTTAAACTTTGAGTCCCTTACAGAATATGAAGAAAAGAAATTAAAAAATAAATATTAAAAAAAAAACAAGAATGAACAGTTACATATTTTTACACAGTAATTTAGAAATCTAACCATATACAGCATTGTAGCAGGGCAGTACTGTGACATTTTTTTTTTCTTGTCTCTTATTTTCATTTATTACCCCCCCCCTTTTTTTTAAACATTTACTTGAGAGACATTATGGCAGTAATTGATATGTCAGGACAAATAGTATGTATTTAGAAGATCAGAATTACAGGCATTTAAAGCCTGACCCTACCATTACACATTACTATCTTTAGTGCAGTTGCATAGTTCACAGGTATTGGCATATATAGTTAGCCAGGGTGAGAATCATACCAATTAATTACTAATTTCCAAAAACATGCTGAAGATTCTCAGGATCATTGCCTTATCCATCTTGTGCGTATAAATGTACCATACAGTTTTTAAGGACACAAAAATTTTAATAACTTAAGGAATTTAGCAGTCTGTAAAATGTAAAACAAAAGTTGGAATTGAGGTGTTTGTATAAGTTTCTTTTAGTATGTATAAGAATTATCCTGTAAAGTTTTAAAGTATGATAATTCGTTCTTTTACTATATTTCCTTTTTAGTTACGTGTGTAGTCTGTAGTTTTGTAACCCTCTATTAACTGTCAGCCTTAGTCTTCTAATCTTCCTTATCTTCACTAACATATATGGAGAGTTTTTCTTAAGCTGCCAGTTTCCAGCTGTGTTTATGGTCCAAGTGCTGTAGAAGGCTTAGCTTTCCTTTCGTTTTGGCCCACCGTTGATAAACAGAATGATGGCATTCATCATAAGGAAGTTGTAGCTGTGCATAATCTGGTGTCCTGTTTTTCCCATTTCTTATCCTTCCCTCATCCCTTGTACCCTTCTGTATTTATGAAAGTTTGATTCCCTTTTTTTTTCTTTTTCTTTCTTTTTTTTTTTTTTTTTTTTTTATGAGCAGAATATATTTATTGAGAGAAAGAAAGCTCCTGTCCACAGAGGGACAGGAGGGGAGCCCGAGCGGGTAGTTCCCTGGGAAGCTGTCTCTTCCGGGGATCTTTTTTTTCATATTCTTTTTTTTTCCTTTTCTCTTTCTCCTCCCTCTCCATTGTTCCCTTTCTCATTTGAAAGTTTTTCTTCCTACTTTCCAATATCCATTTTTGTCCTTCAGCACGATTTTGGTTTCTCACACACTAGAAACAACTCATTATGTAAACACATGTGTCTGGTTTATTTCATTTAAAACTGTGGTCTCAAGTTACATCCATTTACATAGAAATGTCTCAAGTTAAAAAAAAGTGTCAAGTTTATCTTCTTTAGTACTCAGTTCTATATAAAAATCACTTAGAAGGCTTAAATTTCTACTGAAGCTATCATGATCTGTTAGCAAACTATTTAAAGACTTTCTTATATCTTAACCATTGGATTAAATAGTCTGGTGACACGTGTACAATTGTGACTAGTATTCCATTTTAATGGAGAGATATGCTAATACAGTTGACACTTTTATTCTGGAGACTTAAAGCTTCATTACTATATTGTGTACAATTTAGACTCTAATGATTTCTCTCATCTCTTTGGAACTTTGTGGTTTCTCGTTTCCATGCTAAGAAGATGCATTTCCTTACTTGCTCATGGTAGAGGCTTAGTATTTTTGGAATAAGTAAATGACATATTAATAGATACACACATTGGATATGTCAAACATAGTAAGTCCCTGACTTGCAGATGAGTTCCATCCAGGAGAAAGTTGGATTTGTTCATAAGTCCAACAGTGACACAAATACACAATGTAAAACATTAAAAAAACAAACATACAACAAAATACTATAAATAAACATTTTATTTTTATAGTTATCTTAAAATGGTAGAGCAGTGTATGTAGTACAACAACTGGCGTATAAGGGACTGCATGGAGTAAACTGACAGGAGAGTTACTAATGGGGGGGCAGTATAGGCTGAGAAAAATACTACTCAGACATCACTGGACTATTTTTTCAAGAGAATAGACAGAATCAAATTGATCAGAAAACCTGTTGTATCAAGATCATGTGGGAGCGAGATTCCGTCTTACCCTATGTCTCCTGTCACTGATGATCCTTTGGCTCCGCCACCCGCCTGCTGCCCTCCCTCTAGTCACGCTGTATAGTAAGCACATAGAGCACATCCGTGACAATGCCCCACAGACCTTGGCTTCTCACGCAAGAGAAACAACTCATGATATGAACAGGTACTTTTACTGATTTGCATATTTATAGAGGAACAGAGAACATAAAAGCTGACTAATTTGGAAGATACTGAGTTTTTATAACAAGGTTTAATAAGGCTATCCTGAGAAGCATCTTACACTCCCTTGTTTTGGTCTGAAACCCTAGAGCTGTTCCTCTTGCAGCAGTAGCCTGTGGGAAAGTTGTGTGGTCACTGCTGTGTCTTGTCTCAGTGTACTTCTGTTGCAGGGACTTATTGTAGTTATAGCTTCCAGCACTCAGAATGAAGAAATCTGCCTAATGTGTTGGATTCTTTTCCCTGGGCTAAATTTATCAAAGCAGATTTAAAATGTTAAAAATGCCATAAGAACTGTGCACATGTTTGTTGGCTGTCTTGAGTCCTCCCCAGTGCACATCTTTGGTGGTTCTTCTGAGGATTTGAGGGCTGGCAGTTGGTTGTTGTCTCTGAAGGGAACTCTTTACAGAGTCTTCTCTTGGTTTACCTCATCATTGCCCAGCTCATTCTAGCCTGTAAGAGAGTTTGGCTTCATTATTTCTCCTAGTTTTCTTTTCAGCATCATTGTATGGCTTTGACTTCTCTGTGGGCTCAGCTACTTTCCCTGTATATCTCATAATCTGAGAGTTAGTTCACAGTTTTCTCCTGTCATATGCTTTTTCTAAAAAGTATAACGTGGCTTTTTTTCTTTATGTGTTCGGTACAGGGTCTTATTACACAGCTGAGGCTCGTAATGATCCTCCTGTCTCAGCCTTCCCAGGGCTTGGATTATAGGTGTGCGCCACCTCACCTGGACTTGATGGCTGGCTTGGCACGCTGGGGTGGGGCAGGCATGGCACGTAGTACTGGGGGGTCTAACCCGGTCCCTGCACTTGCCTAAGCAGGTGCTTAGATGGCTGAGCTATCTTGCTAGCCTTTCTTTTCTTTTAAATACAGGATCTCATGTGGTTTAGATTGGCCTGATCTCACTATGTAGCCCACGTTGGCCTCGAACTTGAGGTCCTGAGTACTGAGAGTATAGACTTTTGCCACTATGTCTAGCTCCATGTGGCTTTCTTTGAGTTTCCTCAGAATCTAGTCTCTAAATCATCTCTTCTTTGACCTCCCTTTTTTCCAACTCAGCCACTTTCTGTGGACAGAAGTTCTGCAATCACTGGCTGTCCTGCCTCAGCCTACTTTCACTCCCTAAAGTGTGGTACAGTACTACAATGCTGAAATTCACCCTGAGGCTTAATCATATCTAGGTGATCTTGCCTTTTCGCTTTAGCATCCTATAATTATTTCTTTTTTTATAATGGTGTTTCTTGCTCTCCTCTCTCAGACTTTGCCTCCAAGTATAGTAACACTAATAATACATGGAATGAATCTTGGGAGAAACAAAACTTTCTGAGAAAAAACCAGGAATATTTTTCCTTGTAATTTATCCTACTAGTTTGATATCAACTCTTGCACCTTTGTAAGTCACCCATGCACTGGAGTCCAGTCTCCACTGCAGACAAAATGAGGTTTCCAAGTGCTAACCTGATGATATCACTACCCTGCATGCATGGATTCTCCATGATTTCTCCAGGGCTGTGGGGATGACAGTGGTACTTCATTGGCGCACATGGTATGCACTTTGAATTAGTCTTTGGTTACTGCCTTTGCTTC